AAAAAAAAAAGATGTGGTATGTATAGACAATGGAGCATTACTCAGCAATCAAAAAAGATAAACTCATGCCTTTTGCAGCAACATAGTTGGAGCTGGAAGGGATCATGCTTAGTGAAATAAGCCAGAAAGAAAAAGAAAAATACCAAATGGTTTCACTCATAGCAGGAATATAAAGGATTGAGGTGGGGTGGGGAGTGAGGGCAGATAATAATATTGGACAACTATATACCAGAGACATTTTAGGGGTTATGGAGTGGAGCAATGGGATCCAAAATGGGGGGGGGTGCCGGGGAGGGGAAGCACAAAATAATATAAAAAGGAACTATTATATTCATAAATAAATATGTCTTTTCAAGTAGATGACCTGGAAATATACAGATATAAAATTTGGGTGACTACACAAAAAAACATTTCTCTATAAAATAGTATTAATACAGAAATACAGCCTTGCCCCAACTTACTTGCAAATGTCATAAAATTTATACAGACCTTTCAAATATTTCACATTGGCATGTGTTTGTGAACCTAGAGATCTTTTAGTTTATTTAAAGCAAATTTCCAGATTACAAAGTATGTAATTTCTACTGTCACCTAAACCGTGACAGAGAACTTTGAATCTGATTCATTCACTAGAACTTTTCCCCCAAGTCAAAATCAGAAATTTGCCCTAAAGTACATTTTACCATTTGTCTTAAAAGTTCGTGTTCTTAATGTCCACAACTTAACTGTTTAACATTGTCAGATCTAAAATGATCCTGTAACACAAAATCTAATTACAGACATAAATGCAAAGAAGAAATGATCGTGGTGGTGGGGAAGGCAATTATTAAAAAAGTGGAGAGAAAGGATGCATGAATACACTTTTCCCATTTCATTCAAACAAAAGACCCAGTCTTTTCAAGAACATTAATGATCCTTCAGAAAGTTTGTTCCCTGTTCAGAAAGTCACCTTTAACTGCCTTCTCAAGCAAAGGCACTCCCCTGGAAGGAACTTATAAAGGTGGTTCCAAAGGGCACGGAACTCAAATTTATGAACTACAAATGTGTATATACTGGGGATTCAGCTTTCATAAAAAATAACCAGCACACACGGAGCCATTTCTTAGGTGATTACCATAAACATCTACCTATAAAGGTTCTTAAAAATGATCCTGGCTTATGGTTTTTTTTTTTTTAAAGCTAGCCTTGAAGGTATCCCAAACACTGACATATGGCCAACCAAACTAGAACTCTGGGTAGAGAGAACAACAGAGCCCCTCAAACAGCTGCTGAGAGAATTCACTTTCTGGGACATCTAACTATTTCCTACAATTAGCTCCCATGAAGAAATCCTGTGTCTTTCTAATACACCAATAGGAAAATAAAGTACCATTTTACACTCATATACAATGATTACAACTCTGATTACTACAACTGTAAAAGTACATAAACGTAGATACTGATTACAAATTCACTATAGTCCCTGGCATATAAATCAGGGATTTTTTTTTAACCTATAAAACATTCCACTAAAACGTTACCCACCTAAGTTGAATCATAAGATATGAAACTTAAAAAGAAAAAGTCCATCAAACCCAACTGATTTTTCAAATCAGAATGCAAATGTCTAATACATTTGTAGCCATTTGCTTTGAACATCATTCTTTCATGTATTTCATGCCATTCTGAAATCCCTTTTCTTGGCCCTAAAGACATCATTCGGAAGTGTTATTTTATTTTATAAAAGATTTATTTATTTATGCATACAACATTACGCCCTGGTGGCATAATGGGTTTAAAGTGCAGCAATAAGAGGTTGCTATCAGAAGCCACTGCAACATGAGTTCAATGGAGTTCAATCTGTGGCCAGGGAGGTGACCCACATGGCACAGCAGACCTCTGCTGACCTGCCCACTGCTCCCCTTAGCAGTGTATCTGCCTGTTCTGCTCCCCTGTCGCTGGTGAATCCTCTCACCCACCCTCAAAAGACACAAAAACTAGTTCAACAAGACATAGTGCTGCTTTATTTACAATAGGAAAGACATGGAATCAACCCAAATATTGATTGGATTAAAAAGGTGTGGTGCATATAACACGATGGAATATTACTCAGCCTTTTGCAGCAACATGGATGGAGCTGGAAGGGATCATGCTTAGTGAAATAAGCCAGAAAAAGAAAAAGAAAAATTCCAGTACCAGACGGCTTCACCCATAGCAGGAAAATAAAAAGGATCGGGGGGGGGGGGGATAATAGTAATAATAAACAACTATATATGAGACATTTTACAGGGGTGGCGTGGGGAACTGGATCAAAAATGGGGGAGGGAAGTGTACTGGACTGTGGTGATGGCACATGGGTAATCTGGTGATGGGAAGTCCACAGGGATCACAACTGAGATGGGAAAAGGCACAAAATTATGTAAAAATAAACTACTATTTAAAAAATAATAATAAGAGCCTCCCAGGTGGCCTAAGGCTCAGAGCTAACACCATGAGAGCTGAGTTCAAATCCCAGCTGGGGAGCAGACCCACATGGCTTCTGTTTTGCCCACTTTTGCTCTAGGCAGAATATTTCAGATTGCCTGTTCTGCTCCCCAGTCTGTGTCTGGTGAAACCTTTCACCCCTTGTACCTATGGTCTACACCCAGTTTTTCTATGCAAAAATAAATAAATTAGAACTATCAAACTACTATGGTTTGAGTGCCTATGTCCTCCCCCCCCATTCATACGCTGAAATCTTAATGTTCATGTGATGGTACTGGAGGGGGGGTCTTGGGAGGTGCTTAAGTGAAGATGGAACACTTGTGAACAGTGCTAGTGCTCTTCTGAAAGAGACCCTACAGAGCTCCCTAATCTTACCCTTCCATCTTGTGAGGCCACACTGACAAGGGAGTACACTGTCTATGAATTAGGAAGAACCGAAAGGACTAAACACTAACTACCTAATGTACCTAATAATTGCAGTCCAGCCATTTACAGGCTATCTCAGAGCATTAAAAGCAGATAGTAGATAAAATCGCTAGGTTCTGTGGCTATACCAAATCAATCTGCTGGACTTTATATCATACCATAGTTATACAAAGTGTTCCTACTGGGGTAACTGGGCAGGATACTTGTGGCCACCCTATACACTTCGGGGGTAACATCTTGCGAGTCTGTAATTATTTCAAACTACAATTTTTAAATAACGGGAAAAAAACTGTAGAGACATCAGAAATATTCAGACATTTGGGGGGAAATTAAGCAAGTTACTATCCTAGTACAGAAATCATTGAATTTTGTGAAATAATACACAAACACAATAAGGACTAGAGACTAAAAGTCAGTGTTATCACTGAGCATAGCACTTTTATTTTCATTTTTGGGCTTTTCCTAGATTTTCCACAGTCAGCAAATACAGATGAAATATTTAAGATTCAAATTAAAATAAGCATCAACTGGGAAAATCATTCTTGTAAGTGACATAAATGACTTCACAGAAAGATTATAGAGCCTACTAATTGAAACGAAAAGCACAAAAAGTCAATTCACAGAAAAAGAAAAGTAGCCTAATGAACAAGGAAAAATGTTCCATCATGTTAGCCATTGAAGAAATGTTAAATAGATCAATTTATTCCATTTAAACCTATTGTATACTAATTTTTTTCAAATAAGAATATGTGATCCTGACAAAAGATGCAGTTAAGGTGGGCACCAGTAAAAACTGGCTTAACAATTTTCAAAAACCACTGGTCAATATTGATATGAAAAATTTTAAAACATTTACTCTGATCTACTACAGTGAATTTAGCCTATAGAGGATAATTCTTAAGATAAAAAAGAAATTAGAAACTGATAATCTCCATCAAATAAAGTTGATGTGTCTTCTACAATATTCTTTAAATTAATCACTCAATCACGAGGCTGACAAGTCAGTTTAACTAGAACAGTTTTTTTTTTTCATCTAATTTAGAGAGATATTCACATTTGACTCACTTTTTGACCAAGGTTTAATAAAGGCCTCCATTTAGAGCCTTATTTTTTTCAACAGAACTACAAGTAAGTCCTCAAGGTTACACAATTATAAAAGTATCTATTAAAGGAAGCAGATGTCCAAGTGCATGGAGAAACTCTACCAACATTACAAAGTATTCAAGAACACGATATTCTCTATCACCACAAAAATATTCACACTATCAGCCCATAAACAAATCAATCACTACCCCTATTTCAAAGCAGTAATCCTGGTTACTGGCTCATTTTATGCCAACTGCTACCATGGGACAGCTATAAATGAAAGGAAAATATGGAAACTCCAAATTCTTGGCAAAATGATTTCCTATCATAATAGACAGTAGTTATAGAAGACAACAATTAGGAAAAAAGCCACCATAAATATGACAAAACC